CAGGAAGTTTTGAATATTTACACTAACAATTATCCACTTTTTAATGGCTCCCATAGCAACACTTTGCCTTTTACAGCTCCTTTCATCTGAATTTCTTGCAGCACTTCACTCGTGCAAGGTTAAACTCACTCTCTTGCACTGTACGTCATAAACACTCCAAAGAGTGCATGTAGAAAGACTTGGGCACAGAGAGGGGGGTGACTTTGCCAGGGTCCCACAGCAAGCTGTTGATGAACCGGGAGAAGAATTCTAGTCCAGCACTTTTTCTGCTCTCTCTCAAGGGTTTGGGTAGCTTATAAGTAAAAGTACAAACACCAGCAACAAGTTTTGATTATGAGTTAATATTTGCACAGTGCCCAACAGTGCACTGTATTTTTTATAATGGTGGAGGGAGAAGGGCACAGTGCCTTGAGGCAGGAGGATGCTTTTCTTGTTTTTGCTGCTTGGCATCTGTGTACTATGGTGATGTGCTTATTAGAAACACACGGACTGACTTGGTAGCTTTTGTGTCTACAAGGTATGGGCTGATGCTGATACAGTCTTCTGGCTTTGATGCATTTTCCATTCCTGCGTGACGATTCCAGGCACTGAAGCTTAGTCAGCCCAAGTTGACGTGGATCTTTATTATTTATTTTCTAAGCTCTCTCAGAACTGATGAAACCCCCTGGTGTGGCAGCACAAGCTAGAAGGTAAGCTAATTTATGTGGCATTTAAAAGTTTGGCTTCCAATGGCACGAACCTGGGGTCACACACTGCTCAGACCAACAGTCCCCAAAATATACGTTCGCAGAGGAGTGGATGTAGCAATAGCTCGCAGCCTCCCTCCTCCTGCAATGACTTGCTGGGGCAGCCCTAGAGGCGCGCAGCGCAGCGCAGCGCAGCGCAGCCTCACGTGCGAGATGCAGTTCCTCAGTGGGTGGGAACCGAGAGCACGTCCCCTCTGCCACTTCCTTCGTTAGGCTCTGTGGTCCCGGTACCTTTTATAGTATTACTTTTGTTAAGCAGCACCATAGAGCGTGTCCTCAACATCACCCCTAGCTCAACCTGGTGGACTATTGTGGCTCAGCCAGTCCCCATATGCACAGCGCTACCCAGTGTGGTGCAGCCTTCTCTCATCTCATGCTCAGTATGCGTTTCCTTTGGTTGGTGTGTGTGTTTTTTTTCTTTGTTCTTCTATTTGGCTTTCAGTCCCCTCAAGTGTCCAGAGTCAATGCATTGCAGGACACTGGAACATGCCAGTCTGAAGCTTTCCAATGGTTTCCCTTTCTGGAGGTCCGTTCTCCTTTCTCTCCTAGCCTGGAAACCTGTTAGTCCATCATAGCTGAAGGTAAAGCTACATCCTTTGCTGTCTGGATTATTTCAGAGTAAGGGAACAGAGACTCGGTGAGCTGAAGCTTGCAGTTTCCTCATGGTTTTTTCCATCAGGGAATGAGATTTGGCTCCCAGCAGCAGCTGCCAGGGGACCCATTTTCTAAACACACTGCCATGAATCCCTGTAGATCATGTCAACTTTGGAAATAAAAGACCAGGGGGATTCTCCAGAGGCCAGGGGCATTGGTGCAAAGATCCCTTTCCTGAGCATTGCTATGTAACTCGCTCTGGACAGCTTCTGCAGAAGTCAGACTTCCTCCCTGTTACTGCTGCCACTCTCCTTGGCACCGGTTGTGGGACGGAGCGGGGTATGTGAAGGTACACATTTCTTGCGGAAACCCACTCAACGTGGACCCGTACTTGAAAGATGCTTGGTAATCTTAACTAACGTCCTGGGAGCTGAAGGTGGCAGCATCTTGCAAGACTGGGCCTTTTGAGGCAAGATTTGGGTCAAAGGAGACTGCGTGGTCCTGTCTTACCATCATGTTCTGTTCCAACTGAAGCTGATGGAAGTCTTGCTGTTGCCTTTTGTGGGAACAAAACTGACCTTCTGTATCCTCACTCATAGTGACAGGAACTGCCTCGCTAATTCTTCTCAGAAACCTACCGGGGGTCTCTTTGGTTGTGTTCTGCGTTAGGAAAATATTGTTGCAACAGTCCCAACATATCACCTCCAATCTCCCTTCTCCTTTTCTCTCTGAGAGAACATCTTCACCAGAGTACTAGATATTCACTCTGTGACATATTTTCTGCATTGACCTGAGTTGTACCAAAAGCAAACTTTGTTTCCCTGCCTACCAGAGAGTTGCACTGACTTCAGCCCATTGCTTCCTTTAGTTATGATCTCAGTAAAAGTCTTGACATCTTATTTTTGTGCGATTTGTAGGGTGCTGGATGTGGATAGCTAAAGAAAGATGGCAGCGGGCAGACTATAAGGCGTGCTGGACTGGAAACATTTCTCAACTTTGATGGAGCTTCAGCTCTCTGAGATTTCACGTGTGAGCGCACAGAAAATACATAATTCTTCACGCAGCGATAGATTAAGGTAAGTACTTACAGAAAATGTGTTATTCCCAGTTATCTGTAGGTGAGCTCAAATACTTACTATGTTTGTGAGTTGAAATGAGAGGCAGAGAAGGCATAACGGTGAAAATTCTTGCTTCAGCATGGCACAAATCAGAATTAAAATTTCCAGCTGGTTCTCTTAAACAGGCTGTAAAGTTTTCATTAGTGCTCTGGAGATGAACTCAGGAAAGCTCTGGCAGCATGCATGAAACTTAAGCTATGGGGACTTTAACAAGATAGGTTTGTTGAGGACATTGATCTTGGAGAAGCTTTTGGAACTGAAATGTTGACAGCTGTCTTCATGGATACCTGTGAATAAAATAAATCTTTTGCTTAATTCATCATCTGAGATCACTGAATTATTTCCGACTCCTTTGAGGTATAAGTGTCTGTTACGGGCTTATGTGGAAAATCTCTTTGTAGATTACAGAAACTGGCGCAGATTAGACTAGACTGAGATCTAGTCACTGGATAAATTCTGGAAATATTAAAGTCATGCCCTTGTTTTTGAAAATGTTAGGCTGTTTGGTTTTATATATCTCAGTTTAGAGCAAGGAATACAGCTAGTCAGTTATACATGGTCTTTATAATTATACAAATGAGGAAGCTAGTAAAGAGAATGAAAGTCAAAAGTGAGACTATGAACATCTTCATGGATTAGACTCAGCATGGAAGCTATTTAATCATCTGAGAATGGAGTTGGTGTTGCCAGATCTCATAATTTGTGTTGTTCTTAAAACCCTGAGGTCATGTAAATGTATCAGTGTGTCGGCTTTAAGTGGTTTTTTTTTTTTTATATATATTTTGCTTTTCAAAGTGAGTTTCTGGCTTTCCTGGTTTTGGAGAAAAGCTTGAAAATGTGCACCGAGATCAATGCAAATCAAGATGGGGAAATAATGCAAATCTTTTCTAGCTCATCATTTTAATCCACTCCAGGACTTTCCCAGGCTTGATTTTTATGGGGTTTTTTTACCATTTGAAGTTGGTTGCAGTCACCAGTAGCTTACATGCCCCTAAATCAAAAGGGAAGCAGGGCATCAAGGAAAAGGAACCCTCCAGCATAGCTAAATGGCAAGGTTCATGTGAGACGGGGCGCTCACAACTGCAAGGTAACGCACACTGAAATGAATAATTTAACAGCCACTCTAATTTAGAGGAAAATGATCTAGGTGTCATTGTGGATGGCCCAATTAAAGCCTCTCTGCAATATGCAGCGGTGATCAAAAAGGTAAACAAAGCATTAGGATGTACAAGGAAAAACTACAAAAAACATTGCTGCTGCTGTTGGGTGGATCTGCTGCGCTCTGCCTGGCAGAGAGGGGGGAAGCCTGGAGAGCAAAGGGTCCAGTTTTGCTTGTGCCAGCTGTGAGACCAGTGGCCAGGTGATGGCAGCCCCCCTCCTGGCTGCCCTGCCTGGAAGATAGACTGCAGGGTCACAGGGAGAGGCTGCCCTGCAATCGAGCCTGGCCGGGAGCACGTGCTCCAGAGTGAAGCCAGACTCCCTTGCAGGAGGCTGTGCAGAGAATGGCACCTTGGGAGGGAAGAGGGACAAACCGTGTCCTTCACTGAGCAGGGGATGAAGGGTTTCAGACTAGGAGGGCCCAGGGACCCATATGCTTACTTCGTGCAATAGCAACACGAACCAGACTCTACCCCTCTTCCCCCAGGGGTGGGTGGAGTGGGTGGGAGGTCAACGAAATGCCAGGGTTTGTGTGAGGGGAGCGGGCGGGGTGGATGGCAGGGTCCTGCCCTGGGGCAGCCCATGCTGGACCTCACCCTGCAACACAACACCCGTGTCTGGAAGGCAGTGTTCAGGGCTGGCCACTCCTCTGACAAAAGAAACAGAATGGCACCAGGGGTTGGGGGCTAAAACGGGAGACTCGGATCAAAGCCTTCCAGTGAGGCATGGGAGGCAGGGACAAAACGGAGAGATACGTACATTAGTGAATGGTGCTGATTAGAGAAAGTAAATTAAACTCTCCTGTTTCCTTTCCCCGAGAAGAAAAAAATGATGGAACTGAAGGATTTGCTAAAAATTGAACTGTTTTACTGAACCATTGTAAAATTCAATATATAATTAACCTGTGCAAGGCATTGGCAAAAGGTGTGAAGACCTTCTAGGTTCCCTAGAGGACTGGACATGCATCCTTCTGGGCGACCAGAGCTATACTGAGGCAGGCTAGCGCGCTAGCTGCAGTCGCCCAGCAGTTTTGAATGTCACGCTGCATCCATTAAGGTGCCACCGTGTAGACTTAAGAGTACGACCTCAGTTTTAAAAATTTTGGCCAATGAGAAGATCCAGTTACATTTAATAGGATAAGAGAGATTTTTACGAGGGCTATAAACACTTTTTTGTTTCAAGGATATAGACCAACTACCACCCTCGACTGGGAAAGAAGTTTCCTCTAATGAACTGACCATAATGTCTGTGCGTTACGGTTTCCTGTGCCTTCCTTTGAAGCATTTGGCACAAGCCACGGCCAGAGAGAGGCTACTGGGATGGCTGGACTGTTGATTTAGTCTGGTGTGGCAAGTCTATGTGAAAGGCTAAATTTTGGATTCAAATGGATTCGACAACGTCCCTTTTACTGTCCAGCATGCCTAACACCACAAAGCCTCCAGCCTTCTCACTTGCACTCTGCAAGCGTAAAAGAAAATTTAGATCATTTTGACAGTTATTTTCACGTCTGTTGGCAGGTGGCCAAGTACACTTCAAATGGCACCGCGTGTAATGAGTCCGATCCATCCCTGGCAGGGCTCCATTAACACGAACGGAGCCGCAATCATATTTTCACCAATATGATCAGCTAGGGGCCAGTTAATGTCTCCCTAGCCGCTCGTGTAACTTTTAGATGATATCCTCCCTTCTGCCGGCTGCCCTTCCAAAATCCCTTTGTCCCGAGATTCAAATGCCACTAATTTTTTTTGTTAAAGTCCCTGTTTTTGGCAGTGATTACCCTATGACCTATAGGAGATACAGGGCGGTGGAGATAAAGACTTGCAGAAGCCACAGGAAACCCACAGCAAAGTGTCGTATCCGTTTGTTAGAGGTGAAAGTTTGCGGTGATTTCTGAACGAGAAAATTAGTTGCCTTTTACAGTTCTGCGCAGATGTTAACTATGGGGGAAAGTTCAGCGTGCAAAGCTGGTGTTTCTAGTCTCTGCTAGTGTGGAGATGGCCAAGAGTATCAGGAAACAAATAAATGATTGTGACGTAGAGCAAGGGGCAGAGGTGGGCCATTTCCTTGTGTACGAAGGAACACGCGTATCTCAGCTATGTAAGGTCACACCTCGACCGGTGCGGCTGCACCCTCCCCACTTCCACTTTAATTACCTTGTGTACACAATAGCTTCAGAAATGATTGTGCTGGATTCCTTTAGCTCCGAGCGGAATGGGGACGGTCCTGGGGCCAGCCTCAAGGCAAGGCTGTTGCCTCCCCGCTTCCCAGAGCAAGCCGGCCCGCCTCGCAGGGACGGGACAGGGAGGGCCCTCGGCTTCGCAGCAAGAAATGCAGTTTCTGGGGGGGAAGGTGGGGAACCGGGGCCCGCGAGCGAGGGCCTGTATCAGACCGGTCGGACGTGCTGAAGCAGAAGGCTCTCTAGGGATTATTTTTCAAGTTGACATATAGACAAACGGGTTCGGCGTGAGCCTGGCCAACATCAGTAGGTGGTCAGTAATTGTCCTGACTTCCCCCAGCCTCGAGACTGGAGGGGCGGGAGCCCCGAGGGCCGCCCCAGCACCCCGGCGTGCAGCGGATCCCCGTCAGCGCCCATCCAGTTGGCATTTTCCCAAGCGGAGGGAAAGGGTGCCACTGCCGCGTGGGCCCCGCACGAGGTCAAGGGCAGCAGGCTGCATTTCGTGCTTTGCAGCGTGCGGGCGGCCCCGGGCTGGGCGGCAAGGACGGGAGCTGGCTCTGAGCAGGGTTGTTGCCCGCTCTGCTCTCCCGTGCCGCCTCCAGCGATTGGGGCCCGGGACGTTGAGAGGCAGAGGCCGTGCCCCGTCCGCCGGGGAAGAGCGACCCCAGCCCGTGTTTAGTGTTAAACCCACCTGCCCCTTGATTGATTGATCGATTGATGGATCTCCCCCTGCGCTGCGCTGCGCTGCGCCGTGTCCCACAGGCAGGCGGGGGGGGCGGACACACGTGCGCGGCGGGGCGGGGCGGG